CGTAATCTTGTGCCCTATCGAGGCGCTCCCAGGCTCTGCTCCCAGGCGTTCTCAGGCGATTCCATGGGCTTCCGCCTATTCCGCATCGTGTCTGGTTGTTGGGTCAGAGGCCCCCTGGTGGCAGTGCATTGCATAGCATATAGTAGCATAGCATAGCCCATACGTGCGGTGTGCTGTTTGGTCGTTGAAAGATGGGACCCGGCAGTATAGCACCTCATCGCATAGCAAAGCATAGCTTTGGCTATACGTAGGATGTGGTCTGGGTCAGTGAAACGTGGTGACCTAGCAGTAATGCGTTGCATGGCATAGCAGAGCATATCATAGCACGGACCATAGTATGATGTACTGTTGGTTCCCCATGGGGAACTCATGGTGTGGCATAGCATAGCATATCATAGCATAGCAAAGCACAGTGTAGCATATCATAGCATAGCACATCAAAGCATGGCATAGCCTAGCCTATGCGTATGATGTACTGTTGGTTCCCGTTGTTGTCGCTGTTGTTGTTGTTGTTGTTGTTGTTGTTGTTGTTGTTGTTGTTGTTGTTGTTGTTGTTGTTGTTGTTAGTGTTGTTGTTTGTCGTCGTCGCCCCGCCCGCGACCCACCCGCGCGCCGCCCCGCGCGCCGTCCCGCGACCCACCCCGCGAACCGCCCCGCCACCCACTGGCGACCCAATCCGCGACCCGCCCGCGACCCGCCCCGCGACCCGCCCGCGACCCACCCGCGACCCGCCCGCGACCCGCCCCGCGACCCGCCCGCGACCCGCCCCGCGATCCGCCCGCGACCCGCCCGCGACCCGCCCGCGACCCACCCCGCGACCCGCCCGAGAACCACCCGCGACCCACCCGCGACCCAACCCGCGACCCACCTGCGACCCACCCGCGACCCACCTGTTACGCATTAGCGACACGCCCGCGACCTACCTTTAGTGGTTTAAGGAGAAAATCGGCGCCTCCGGCGGGCTCGTTGTCTAAGTGAAACTTTGGCGCCGGCGGCGGGCTTCCCCAGAGTCTCGCAAACTGCCGACGTCTCCGCCGCCCCCTGAGTCTTGTTCGCATCTGCGGGGTGCTACGGTACCTTTTCTTGCCATTCTTACATTTCCCTATCGTTGCTTGACGGATCCATCGTGAGCTTTGAGACCCATGACGTTCCAGTATTCTTTCACCCCGGTTTCGCCCCGGGTAGCGATTCTCTGGCGAATGAATCTAAGAGGCTCCCAACAAGGCTTCAGGGTGGTCCAGGAGGGCACCAAAGCGGCCCAAGAAGCGCCCGAGATGGCCCCGAGACGGCTCCAAGAGAGGACCGAGAGGGGGGTCGCGAACCGATCAGTCGAGCCTTTCGCCCCAAGAGGCCCCCTGGAGGCTTCAAGAGGCCCCCGGAGGAGCCGCAGAGGCCACCGAGAGCCCCCAAAAGAAGCTTCCAGAGGGCCCCAATTGGCCCCCAGGAGGCATCCCAAATGGTTTCCAAGGAGCCGTTTTGCAGCTGCAAGGCCATGTCGCTACGTCAGCACCAAAGGTAGCGTCAGGGACGGTGCGTTCAGAGAAAGCATTCGAGCGGCCGGGCGCGACTGTGTCATGGTATGTGCTAGCGAACCCACCCGCCCACCCAGCCACATGACGCGCGTTATGTTGTCTCAGATAAACTCGATTTCAGGTCTTCCGTGGAAGCGGGTGCCGAGCGGCGAAATCATCCATCATGTAGTGCCGAGAGGTGTTGTTATCGGGCCAGTTCAGGAGCATGATTTGCTTCCGCTGGCCAAGTCTCAAGAGGGGCAGCCTGTAGTGCGCCGCGGGGTCTACATCTTAGCAGACGACGATGTCAAATGCGGCTGCGCTGCAACGCGCGCCGGCCGCGGAACTCGAAGGCGCGGCGTGCGCCCAGTTTCCCGTGGCGGAGCTGGCCGCGACCGAGCCGAGAAAGAACCGGAGTGAACGGAGACAGGAAGAAACGGCTCTCATGGCAGCGCTGCGGCAATGGAAACAGCTGGACAAACGGCAGAGGATGGATCGGCCATACGGGCAACAGAAAGACCGACCTCTGGCAAAACGCGCCCAAATCACAAGCGACCTGCGGGGCGATGGCCCGACGTCGCTGCAAAGGTAAGCAGACCATATCCGTTTGGCGAGCGGAAAAGTGACGCGCTCGAAGACGCGATGGACACAGGGGGGTCATCGTCGCCCGGCTCTGCGCAGCAACTGGCGGGCCAGCGGCTCATCGGCGCGCCAATGCCCGGGCCGAGGGCCCCGGCAATCGGCGTCTTCTCAAAAATGTCAAATAGGGAGTTGTTCCGTCTTGCGCAGCGTTGCAATTTTGGATGAACTTCCAAAGCTAACACCCATGAAGTTTTTTCAAGCTCCGCGTGTCTGTTCGCTGTGCATGTGCAGGTGCGAGCTGTCTGTCCGCCGACTCTGGCTGGCGGCGAATTGTCTTGCAATTAGCCTCGTTCCGTGACCCGGACGCCGCTTCCGCTCCCTGTCCGTTGCCTTGGAGCCGCTGACCAAAAACGTGTCTGTTCGCTGGGATGGGATGGCAAAAGATGGTCCGCTGGACTGGTCGTGCAACGCATCATCGGGAACGACGATCGGCTACAGAAACTGTGGGTGGTACACGTCATCGAAACCATTCACGGGGACAAAGACCCGAGGGTCCACAGCACGGACGAGCTTGCTCACTGGCTGGCCAGAGTTGACATCGAGGACGCCCCCGACCATGTCATACGTCTGGACAACGTTAACTTGGGTATACGGGACATATGCATGCGCCCACGTGGGATTGAATTTAGACCAATCGTTCCAAGCCGTACCGCATCATCAGGCAACATGTCCTTTCAGCAGCTCATGGAGCGAATGGCTAGTTTGGCTGATAATGCCAATGAGAACATCTTGGCCCTGTGCGACCCGGGTTCCCGACGAATGCGCGATGAGGAGAATAATCTGGACCCCTTGGTCAGCCTGGTCATGAACGCCTCTCTCGGGAGGCATTTAATTCCTGTCCACCCTGGCGCGGCCTTAAGCGGGCGGCCACTGTCCCGACCTGAAGGTCCACGAACAGCGACAAGAGAGATCAGGAGCAGCTTAGGAAGCGAGCCTGCTGCCGCCGCAGGTGAACGCAGGGGCCCGGGAGGCGATCTGCTGGACTACGACTCGAGCAAGGCCAGCGCGCAGTCTGAGGCGGACGAGGCAGAAAGCCTGAAGGAAGCCCAGCTACAGGGGAGGGTCACAACACCGGGACTGCTGACGATGAAACATCCAGCGCCACAGACGATAGACCCCCGCTGCCGAGGAGGCGAGATCCGCCACACTGGGCTCCACCAAAAGGGTACGTGCGAGGCAGGGGACAGAGCGGCAGACGAGAACAACGAGACGCTCCCATTCAGCACGCCGCTGATTGCAGGACTGGTTCCTCGCGTGGACACAGGGGCCAGTGGATTTACGACAGGTCTTCAGACCATCGGGCCACGCAGTCTCGTGATGACGCCTGGCGTAACCAGAACGAGCGCACTGGAAATGACGGGATATTCAATCATGGCAACTGGGTGCCCTTCTCCAGGAACCCACTGACCATCCACGAGCCCAAGAACGACGGGTCCAATATGTACAAGGCACCACTGCGCACGATCGACGCACAATACCTCGGCGAGTCCGACGGCGCCTTCGCCCCCAGGAGGCAGAGGAAATTAGACAGCATTTTCAGCGACCTGTGGGTAGCTCACTGCGCCAAAACCTGCCGCATTAACGCCCAGCCGACTTTCGACCCAGCACTGCAGCCGCCAGGCGTGCGCCGACGTTTTCACCCATGCGTGGAGCACTGCAGGCTACGACGTGTACCGCGCCGGCCAGTTCTTGCGCGCTGAGGCCAACTTTTGCAGCCCAACTGACAGGGTCGCGGCAGTCAGTGACGCCTCCAGCTCAGGCGCTGCCAGCAGCAGCGGGGCCGCCGCCGCCAGGTTCCACGCATCGGGAGAGCACCCGAGCAAGGGGAAAGGCAAGGCGAAGGATGGACCCGATTCACTGTGCATGGCTGGGAAGAGGAGCCGAGCAACCGACAGCCCATGGAGCCCATGGAACGAGAAACGGTATCGACAGTATCACCGAGTGTGGGGCACCGCCCAGTTTCGCTGAGATGCGGTTTTGACATCGCACCGGGCATGTGGTGGACCCAGTAGCGCCACGCGCCTACACTGCTGACTCTCTTTCCTATGCATGCGGCGGTTAGCTTTGCTCCCCTGCTCTCCCTCTCTTTCTGCCTCATACGCAGTCGCTGCGATTCAACGGCGTCTTCGGACTGAAAGCCCACCGTGATTGTCCCTGCCAAACGTCCCATTCAAGAGCGCCCGGAATGTTTCATCGACGGCACCTCCTTGCGTGCTCTTGCAGTAACTAGTGCGTGGCTAAAAAAGAAAGCATGCATTGCCTGCACCCGCTGGCGCATATGGGACGGTGTGCTAGGACAATGGAAGACCTCATTGTCCGTGATTGCACGTTCTTTCGCAGCTGAAGGAGCCCAGCTTTACCCAGGACTTCGTGTGAAGAGCAACGGCAAGCTTGTGCCAGTGGCGGGTTTACCGAGGTAAGCTTAGATACAGAGCGCCCGGCGTGCGCGTCAGTGTGCACAAGGTTATGGAGAGCTCTCGTCCTTTTTTCTTGGCTTCAGTGGTTAGCTGACTCGCCCTCTCCAGTTTCATTGGGATCTTGGGCCGATAGTCTCAGACAGGCGGGGACACCGCCGTATCCACTTGGATTGTGTGGCACGCCGCACCCACCTACGACGTGCCATACGCCTTCCCCGACCCTAGTTTAGCCGGGCTCCCCGTCTCAGACATCCCCGCAGCCATTGACGCGCTCGAGTCACGCGCAAACAGGGATAGCAGGAATAGAGGTGGTGCCTAATCCCCTTTCTTCGTCGTCTCTGCCCGCCCCGACCCTGCTAAGGTCCGGGACGTTGCCCCCTGTATCCGCTACTACCTGAACGTTGGGCTTCTTTTGCCCCCCTGATTCCCCATGGTGGCCAAGGCCAAGATCGTGGCTCGGTGGCCGCACGCGGCCCCCTGCCGTCGACAACCACTGAAGAACACACTTGGGCGCATCATCTTCAAGTGCCGCGAGGCCCCCGGCATCCGCTGGACCTACATGGGCGACAACAACGGCGGCGGACGCTGGGGCTGGCTCTGCGACGAATGCGGCAAAGCGGTCAACGGCCAGCAGCACATCACGTCCACCGAGCACATGAAGCAGCGCAGGCAGACCCAGCTCGCAAGGTATATGGAAGGAGAGACTCCCCGTGGACTCCCTGATCCCCAGCGGTTTATGATGGGAGGCGACCTTTGGAGCATGACCAAGGGCAAAGCCACGCCGGACATCCCGCGGGTGCAGTGCCCAGGCTGGTGCTGGGACTGGGACCTCGATGACAAGAATACCCCTATCGATCCCTGTGTCTACGAGCCTGACTGGGACGGGATTCCGATCGGCTTTCCTGGGTGCTACGACAGGCCAGAATACTCATCCCCACTGAGGCTGGTAATCAACAACGACGACGTGCGACTTCCCTGGGCCAAGGCCGCCAGCCCCAAAGGGCAGACGAAGGAGCAGGAGCTCGGCGACGCAGGGCAAGCACTGGCCGGTTTCCTGGCCATGAGGGGTGCGTCCAGTTCTTCTCTGGGACCGTCTGCCGACGTACCGTTCCCCCCCACCGGTCCTCCGCCCACGGCGCAAGCGGCATTTCCCGGGCCCCTCCCTGGCCCTAGCGGCTCCGGGAGCCACCCGGATCAATCCAGGGGCCCCTTCAAGGCCAGGACACCGGCCCCGCCGTCGCCAGGGGCGCCCGTCATCGAAGAGCGGCACACGCAGCTCGCCAAGAACGTCGAGAGCATCTACTGGGCCCCCTGGCACATGGTCAAATGCAGCGCTGCGTCGCGCCCCTGCCTCGGACACGTCCCTGGAGCAGTCCCGCTACAGTCGGACTGGATGCGGCGGATGCAGACATACGGCAAGGAGCTCAAGAGAGGCTTCTTCACCGAGTTCTATGCGGACGTAGAGCCCCCCGACGACGGCACCACAACAACCCGCCAGATCATCGCCAGCAAGACCACCTGCGCTCTGGACGTGCAGGTCTTCCCCTGCTTCGCGCCTGGAGGGCCTTGCGAAGATGTCCTGGATAGATATCAACTACAGGATCGACTTAGAGGCCAGCGACAGGGGCAGAGCGAATACTACCTGCTCGTGTGGAACAAGATGTGGGCCATGGAATGGACGGAGCGCGACATGGCATCCAGTTTCCCGAATCCCCTCATGGTCTCTAGGACTTCACCGACGGTGGACTTCTTGGCTGAGATAACCCCTGTCTGGTCCCCAGCCCCTGGCGCCCAAGTCTCGGGCACTGACCGCAGCTGCCCCTCTGGCATAACCCTGGTCCACTACGACGCCCACGGGCCCTTTCACGACAGCGACGCCGCCGTCAGAAGACCAACCCCTGGCCAACCTTACTACAGGGTCGACCGCACCACGAGGGCGGCCCAATTCAACAAGGTCAACGCCGCGATCCGGGAGTTCTTCTCGGCCGGGTGCGAGAGGGACGCCCTGTGGGGCACCGCCCTCCCGCCCATAGTCTGGGCGCTCGTCTTCCGACACGAGGATCGCGACCGCGCGGCCAGCGTCCTGTCGCTGCCCGCGCAAGGTGTGGCAGCGGATCGACAGCTTACGCAGGCCTCGGCCACGCTGGAACGCATGATCGACGACCCCGACCAACCCGGCGCCACCAGACGAGTGGTCGAACCGTCCCTGACACTCCAGCAGGCTGACGAGTCCCCCGGCTGCGTCTTTCAGCGACTGCTGCCTGTCCCGCGGGAGGATCACCTTAAGCGCACCTGCGACCAGCACCGAACCAACGATGCTCAGCGTCGCTGCGTGCTTGCGACCCAGAACTCACTCCTCACCCTGTGCCACGGACCGCCCGGCACAGGTAAGACCAATGTCGCGGCCTGCATAGCGGACGCCTGCATGTCGTGCCTCGCCCCAGGATGTGGCGTGGGGTTCATCGGCGGCACCGGTGGCTCCATGGACACCCTGGCTGAGTAGATCGGGAAGAACTTGACTCCGGGCTTTAGCGACCTGCTCCCACGCTTGGCCGTGCGCCTCGCGCACGAGGACAAGGTGAAGGGCAACGCCGCCAGGAAGATAACCCCCGTTGCTAGGTACGCCGCAGCGTACAACATCCTGGAAGGCCAGGTCACAACCACGGACCACGCGCACGGGTTCCATAAGTTCAGGGCGGAGATCGCAGCCGAGGCGGAGCTCATCCTGGCCACGCACGAGGCGGGGGCCGACCTCTGGGACAATAAGTTCCTCATCTGCCTTCTGGACGAAGCGGGTCAGACGTCCGAGCCCATGGCTATCATGTCCCTGCTCCACGCCGTCCGATGCGGGGCCAGAGTAGTCCTCTTCGGCAGCGAACGGCAGCTGTGCCCAACGGTCAAGTCCCAGAAGGCACTGCGCTGGGGCCTCGGCATCTCCATCTTCGCCAAGTACGTGTCAGCTATGGGAGAGATCCCTAACTGCAGCGTCACCCTGGAAGAGTGCTACTGCATCCACCCTTCCCTGCTGGCCTGGCCCTCGTTCGCGTTCTACGGGGGCAGGCTGGTCTCGGGCGCTTCGACGGGCTCATGGGCCTGTTCCCGCAACTCCTGGAAAACGAGACCCTGCGCGTCACCACCATCGACTCCGCCCAGGGTCAAGAGGCATCCGTCGTCATCCGTCGTCATACTGCTGACCACCCGGGCCAATTCAATGCGCAAATGGGTCCACGTGGACGACCGGCACCGCATCAACGTGGGCCTGACACGCCCACAGTGCAACCTCACCATGACCGCAGACGCGAGGATGTTCCGCGCAGCCACCGACGCTGCCTTCCACCACCTAAGCACCTGGGCCCAGAAGGCGAGCCTTCCTTTCGAAATCACCAGAACTCGGATGGATCTCTGCGCCAGACCCTCGCGGACCCACACGTCTTCCAGGACGACATCCCTGACGCCGCCAATTCAGAGGAGAAGGCCCGACTGCAGGCGGACGCTGACCGCAAGCGGAAGGAGAGGCAGGAGAGGGAAGTGATCAAGGCCCGTCAAGCCCAACAGGCGGGCTTCTCGGCCCGCGCCGACCTGCCACTCCCTGCAGACCACAGCTGGACGAACCTGGAGGAGGACGTCAACACGGCGGTCGTGCGACTCCTGTACTGCGCGGCCTTCGGACCCTGCGTTCTTTGGTGCCTCGGGCTGCGCCCGCGCCAGTTCGCCGTGGCGGACGAGCCCACGGATCCCAGCATGCAGGTCAGGAAAGGATGGAACATGAACGGGTGCCTCTTCTTCTGCTCCTTGCTGGTGGGACTGGACGCCGGTAACTTGGTCTACACGGCAGTCTTCGCGACCATCATGTGGGCCATCGGGCTCGAAGTCACCCGCGACGACAGCGCCCAGGCCGTTGACTCCACCCTGATTCCACCAAGAAGGGAGCGACCGAACATGCCGGCAGCGTGGCACGTCAAGGAGGCCCGCATCCCCACCACCGCCGCCAGGCGCCGCCCCAAATGCTGACAACCAACAACCTGCAAATGCCAGAAGCACAAGAAACCACCCACGCCAGCGGTGTTTCAGGCTTTCTGCGACATGGACTCAGGCGGACGCCAGACAGTCCTGCACCGCCTCCTGGGAAGGACCGGCGCGATCCTGGGAGCCATCCAAGCCAGAATCCTGCTCGCCCTGTCATTACTCTTGCAGCGCGAACTTCGTGCCTGCCTGTACCCGTACGGGGACGCCGAGGGCATCGGCGACGTGATCGAGGCCATCCTAGGCTTGTGCGAGCCGTGCCGGCCGCGCGACAGGGTCGCGCGGGACCATCTGGGAGCACTTTTCGGGCTTCAGGCCAAGCACTTCAGGGAGCTACATTCGGCACTGGAGCTCCTCATCTCTGCGGTGTCCCGCTTGGTCCTGGTCGCCCACCACCACCCCCTTGCCATCAAGGCGGGATGCCCCCCCACCGGGAAGGACCTCGAGGCCGCAAAGTTCCCGCTCCAGGCCACCCTCGCCGTCATCGAAGCTAGTGTCCCTGCCGCCGACCTATCGGTCCTGGCGGACCGCGAGTGCGCGGTATGCGAACTCTACGGCGACGTGCTCGGATCCAGCATAGGCCTCACCACGGATCCTGCAAAGCAGGCAGGCAAGGTCGCCTGGATAGGCGGGGGGTATTCCTTCACACACCTACACGTGGACGCGCCCGCCCCGCTCGGGCCCCGCCCCGGCGTGACGCTACGGCCTCCCTGGATAGACGAGCGTGACACCCGGTGGGTGAAGGAGCAGAGCAAGGCCGACTTCTAGTACCAGGGGTGCCTCCGTGGCCCGTTCAAGCACGACAACGGAGCGTACGTCAGCAAGCGGATCCGCCAGGTCATCACGGTCAACAGGCAGACGGAGTACTACCAAGGGATGGACCTCACCTGGCTGTGCATTTTCTGCTGGACCTCGAAGGCCATGCAAGAACGCCAGGCCATCCCGGAGGACGTGGAGTTCAAGGGTTGGATCAACGATCGCCCCGACGACATGCTGGTGCGCACCGCGCGTGCCCTGCTGGGGCGTTGCCCAACGTTGGTGCCCACGGCATTCACGCCCCTTGAGCAGCTCCTGGTCCCACTGGACGGCGACATGAATCCGCTCAACGTGGGTGCCACGCTACCAGCCAGCAACACGAACGACGACCGCCTGATTTCCCAGTTCCCCACGAGCAATGTCGGCATTTGGCGGTGCGACGGCTGCCCGCCCGGCACAGAAGGGCACAGGTGGCAGCCTGGACAGCCCATCCCTGGCATGTACGGCCACGCCGCTGACCCTGAAGGCCTCCGCGCTGGCCTAACCCTGACCCACGGGCTTCCACCAGTCCAGCTCATGAAGGAGATGTTCCTGTCCAAGCGCTGGCACGCAGGCTGGTACTGCGAGGACTGCCTGATCCACCAATCGGATATGGCCCCGTCCGCAGTGCGGCGCGTGCTCGACAAGTGCGGCCCTTCGGTATACCCTGGCCACGGAGCCGAACCCCTCGCCGCGCTACCTGGCATCCCTGCCGCCCCCACAGGGGTCGCATTGCGCCCCAGCCAGCAGGAAGTGCAAAAGCGGGCTGCCGCCTGGGTTGAGGAGGCGCGCGCCCACCAAGAGCGCCTTCGCGGCGCGCCGCCGCCTCCGCCGGAAGACGAGCAACATAATCGCGCCTGGGCGTGAAGGATGACGGCCAGGGAGACGCACGTAAAGGTTGTGGCACAGATGAGGGGCCAGGGCGCCGGAGGCACAGGCAGCGACGAGATCAAACATACAGACGCAGCTACCATCGCGGCAGCTCAGCCTACTCCGCAGCCTGCGACCAGCAGCGGGCCCCAGCAGGACGACGTCCCCCGGACAGACGGGCGCAACACCCGTACCCCTGACCCCACATACAGCCCAAGGCCCATCAAGGACCGGCGCCTGTCGCCCACCGATCCACTACCGCCCACGCCGGTCTCGATCCTTCCCACTACGCGACCCACGGCTACCAAGTCTGCGGGGGCCCCGCCAGCTGCCAACGCAGTCCATGATCCCCTCCTGGAGCGCGCGGATCGCGACCGCGACCGGCGGCAAGGACGAGTCCCAGACAAATCCCTCCAGGCCCCCACCCGCCCGATTACGACGGACCGCCCCATCGAGAGCGGCGACTACGTGGTCATCCGGAGCGACACCCTCGCCCGAGCCAGGTGGTTTAGAGCAGCGCAAAGCACCGTGCCCCTGTTCACGCAGCCCCTGGGCGGAGTTGTATTCGGACCAATCCGCAACGTCCAGATCCGCCAGAAGGATGGGCAACGATTCCTGATCGTGAAATTCGGCAACGAGTGGCTTAGAGTTTGGGGTGCCAGGACCAAGACGCTACGCGCCGACGTCCTACGCGGCAGTGCGGCGAACCGTGCGGCCGCCTTCCTGGATGGGGGCCCCCGACAAGGCACAAGCACCGCAGGAGCCAGCGGCCCCTGCCAGCTCCTGGCTCGGCGCCGACCCTGGAAGCGCCACAGCGGCGTCTGCAGAAGGGGCTCAGCCCAAATCCAGGCCCCAGTCCCGCGCGCCACGGACGGTCGCGCGGGACCCCGCGCACGAGCCGCCGCCGCACGGGCACGCCAAGGAGGATATCCCCGACTGCACCGACGAGGACCAGGAGGAGGAGTAGGCTCAGAGGCTGGCGGAGGCCGCAGGCACGGTCCACACGGTCTCACCTTCCCCAGACCTTGGAGCACATCGGCAGGTCCACACCGGGACGAGCCCCCGGGAGGTGCGACGCAGCAGCCCTGAACGCGACACCGACACGACACGCCACGCCCGCCAGGCCCACAAATCCACGAGACAGAGCGAGCTCGCGATGGCCGGCGCCGACAACCGCGCCCTGCACACACGGCTCCGGACTGCGGCCACAGGAGCCGGGCGCACCGCACCCGACCCCCACCCTACGCGCGAGTACGGTGGCGCGCGCGGCAGGGTGAGTGACCCGGGTCCTGGTGACCGATGCGACAGCACGGCGCGGCGCCCGTCCAGAGATACCAGCGACCGGGACCGAGCCAGAGAGCGCGACCGCGACCGGGACCGCGATCGCGACAGGAGCGGAGGGTTGGGCCCCTGTCATCGACAAGACGATCGCCGCAACCTGTGAATAGAACCCGTGTGATACCCTCATATATACTCCTTATCCTCACCTCTCCTGCGCCTGGCCGTTTGGGCTCAGGTATAGGATTAGATCGAGCAGACCTTTGATCGTGCAGGAGGAAAAGATATCCATCTTTCCTTCCTTTCCTCTACCAGCGGATCAGGGGCTCTGTACCTTTGTATTCTAACCCCATACACAGGTTATCAGCCCTTTTAAAGCTCACAGTTCATCGAACCCCGCGTCGCGATCTCGCACGCGGCCTCGATGGAACCCAAGCGGCGCATGCGCCGTAAGAGGTCCATCGGGGCCTCGCGTCCGAGCTCTCCGACGGCGCGCCGGCTCGGTGACGAGTTGGAGAGCCTTCATGTGGACTGTGCAGGTGTCCCAGGTACCGCCCCCAGCTCCGACGGACCCGAGGCGCGGCTAGCTGCTGAACTTCACCGCCACGCCGCCCGCGGGGGGACAGGAGAAGGAGCAGGAGCAGGCAGTAGCGAGTTTCACACGCCTACCTTCCATCCTCCATCTCATCATCCGTCGGGAGCAATCCCAACTGCGTCGGGCGAGAGCCCCACTGGTCCTGATACTCCAGGGCGCTTTCGCGCTAACCGCCGATGGACTTCAGGTGCTGGCACGCCCTGCCCTGGGACCGTTCCTGTAGCGGAGCACGTAGCCACCTTCGAGGAACTCAGTAGACCAGTGGCGGCACAGCC